CCAATGTGCCCTAAGCCATCTATCACTCCTGTCCCTTCTGTAACACCCTGCATTTTAACCATATCCAATTATTAATTTTTGAATAAGACATGGAATTAACCTTTTATTTGTTCAGAAATGATAAATGTGTATTGTGAAAATTTGGAATTTGAAAAATGTAAACTAAAACAAAACACATATTCTTACTATCACTATTAATACTTAAAGTATATTCTTCCAGAGAAGTACACATAGATGCAGGTATAATACCACAATGTACATGCTGCTTTATAACCTGCTTTCTTCAGTTAACAATATTTATTGCTCCATTTTAGTAATATTTGATCTCATTTATAGGCCATCTTCAAATTTCCCCAAATGACCTAAAATGTCCTTCCATAGCTGACCTATCCACACCAAATATCAAATTCAGAATTTCAGACTGTATCTTACTGCCATTTACATTTCTTTTAATGTAGAACTGTCACTTTTCCCATCTTTCTTTTTCAGGGAGGACCAGGGATTGAACCCAGGGAGCACAGAGCTACATCCCTGATCCTTTTTATGTAGAGATAGTCTCCCTAAATTGCCCAATGTAGTCTGAAATCTGCAACCCTCCTAACAGCCTTTCTAGTACCTGGTGTTATAGCCATCCACCATCATGCCCCAAACCTCATCTTTTATAGAACACTAACAAGCAAGAGATCTCATCACTTTTCCTATACAATGTCCTACATTACAGATTAGTCTTGTTCCTTTCTCTCTTAGTTTTCTTTTCCCTATTTTGCCAAATATAGAAAAAGGTTAACTGTACAATTTTTATGGGAATTAAATGAAAATCTGCATAAGTAATAAAAATATTCCCAGGTGGTATCACAATCCCCAACTTGAAACTATACTACAAAGCCACTGTGATAAAAACAGCATAGCACTGGCAAAGAAAAAGATCCAAGGATCAGTGGAATAGATTAGAAGATGCAGAAACAACTCCACACATACTCAACTACCTCCTTTTTCACAATGGAGCGAACCATCCTCACTGGAGGAAAGATAACCTCTTTAATAAATGATGTTGGAAAAACTGGATTTCAACCTGCCAAAGATTAAAACTAGACCCTTATCTTTCACCATGTACTAAACTAAAATCCAAGTGGATTGAAAATCTAAATATTAAAAGAGAAACACTAAACTTGCTGGAAGATAGGTTAGGTAGAATTCTCAAAGACACTAGCATAGGAAAAGACTATAAACATTTCCTCAGTAACATGGGAACTAGCACAAAGAATCAACAACTGGGATCTCATCTTATTAAAAAGATTCTGCACTGTAAGAGAAACCACCTACAGAGCTAAGAGACAACGTGGGAAAAAATTTTTACCAGCTGTTCCTCAGACAAAGGTCTACTAACTAGAATATATACAGAACACAAAAAAATCAGACCTCCCAAATGTAAAGATCCAATTCAGAAATGGGCATCTGAAATGAAAAGACATTTCTCAGACAAAGAAGTCAAAGCAGTGAATAATCATATGAAAAAATGTTCAACATCACCGGTCATTCAAGAGATGCATATGAAAACAACACTTGAAATTCTACCTCACCCCAGAAAGAATGGCTGCTATTGAGAAATCAACCAACATCAAATGCTGGTGGGGTTGTGAGGAGAAAGGAACCCTTCTCCACTGTTGGTAGAAGTGAAGACTGGTACAGCCACTGTGGAAATCAATATAGAGATACTTCAAAAAAACTAAGATTAGCCGGGGACTTAGCAAAGTGGTTCTGCCACCTGCCTCGCAAGTGCAACGTCCAGAGTTTGATCCCCAGTACCAAGGAAAAAAAATTTAAAAACTAGGATTAGAGGTCTCATTTGACCCAGCTATTCCTCTGCTGGGTACCTTCGCAAAAGAACTAAAAGAATCATACCCCAGTGATATATGCATGCCCATGTTTATAGCAGCACAGTTTTTAATAGTTAAAACTTGGGAGTAGCCCAATTGTCCATTAACTGGAGACTGGATAAAGAAATTTTTTTATAAAATGGAGTACTACTCATATTTTAAACCATAAAGAATGAGAAATTAGAAGCCAGGCATGGTGGTGCACACCTGTAATTCCAACACTTGGGAGGCTGAGGCAGGAGGATCACTGTGAGTTCCAGAACAGCCTGGGCTGCATAGTGAGTTCCAGGTCAGTCTCAACTACATAGTGAGACACTGTCTTAAAAAAAAAAAAGGAATGAGAAACTAGAATCATTTGCAGCTAAATGGATGCACATTGAGGCCTTACTCTTAAGTGAAATAAATAGGACACACATGTAAACATCGAATAGTTTCTCTTGTGTGAAAACCTAAAAGTGCAAATAAGGATCAAAATGTATATTCGTAATGAGAAATAGGAAGAAAAGGTACAAAGGAGAAAGGAAAGTGGGAGCGGTCGGGGAAAGGAAAGAAGGGAAAAGAAAAAATATGAGAAAAGGAAAAAATGGAAACAAAGTCTTTTCAAATAGGGAAGGATGGAGGGGATGAAGTGAGAGCAGGGTATGGGGAAAACATAAGAACCAAGATACATCATGTAAAGGTACAAGATCCCAATGATGAATGTAACTGCACTGTATACATAAAATGTACCAATAAACTTAATGGGAAAAATAAACGTACTTCTAAAAAAATATTTCCAGGCTTTTACCTGTATTCTAAGTAATAATAGTAGACCATCGAGTTACAACCCACCTGACATATGAACAATTTGGGTTACAAGTGGAATTTTAGTTTTAACTTATGAACAAACTCTAGAGTTATGACTCAAATTCTGGCTGCTTGTGCTTCCAGATGGTCTTAGATACACATCTAACCCTTAAAGAGTTCTGGAAGGAAAATTACAACATCCTTTCCTATGTGGGGTTACCTCAGAAATTCTGGGCCAATGTCTCTTCCTAGAAGAAAGTATGGCCTAAACCTATACAGGAGAGAGACTTAAGGCAACTGACTAACCTAACATACAACCAGCCCTTAGGAATGAATTTAGTTCATAAGTCAAGGGTCCACTGCAATTAAAGGTCTCTTCTGTGGAGAAATTACAATACTGCAAAGAAAATAGGTGCTGTGGACCCACCACATTTATCCATCACCATAAAATGAAGCTGGCCAGTTGTTTACCCATATACAGAGTACTGTTCAATTTTTACTTCCTCATTCTTAAATATCAAAAAACAAGAGCTGGGCATGGTGGTGGATGCTTGTAATTCCAGCACTTGGGAGGCTGAGGCAGGAGACTCCAAGTTCAAGGCCAGCCTAGACTACACAGTTAGTTCAACTTCATAGTGAGAACCTGTCTCAAAAACAAACAAATAAGAAATCATTATATATTCTAAGGAAGGTTCCAGAAAACAGACAAAAGTAAAAAAAGACAAAAGAAAAAAAGCCCCTCTAGAAAAAGACAATGCTAAAAACCTATGAATAAAACAAAACAGAAAAACAAACTTTCTACTTAATATAGTTTCTGCAAAAAATAATAATTGGATGATAGGAATGGTTCTTGGAAAGTGACTTTATGATTACCAAGACAAATGGTTAAATAAAAATAGAGCTGGAAAATACAGTTGAGAAAAGATATCAGAATAGATAAATCCAAATAAAAAGAAATAAGAAAAAATGAGATTCAATCTGAAGTTCTAATTTATGATTATTCAAAATTCCACAAAGACAACACAGAAAATGGGGAAAGTAAAATTGAGTAAAATTGTTAGAAATAAGAAAATTTCACATGACATGATTCTCTAAATAGCTCACCAAATGTTAAACATTAAGTGGAAAACAAACAATCCTAACAGAAGTCAAATAGTAAGACATCACTCAGAAACTGCAGAATGCCAGAAATAAAAAATGAAAAACTTCCCAGACAGATTAAAGGAGGCAAATACAATGTCAAATGTGTCAGAATAAAGTAGACTTCCCAATGGCTAAACAGGAGCTCAGAAAAACAATGCTTTCAAATCTGTAAAGGAAAATTCACTTTACTCCCAGCCAAACTTTCCCATCCAAGTCAAACCATTAATATCCGTCAAAGGCTAGAGTAAAGAAAAAGTTTTTTTGTTTGTTTTTTCAAAAGGTGTCAAATAGCCACAAAAATGGACAGCAGTGGTCCAGAAAACTCCAGAGCAGTAATAAAACAATTTACACTACAAACTAAAATAGGTACACTCATCATAATTACTAACACAGCAGTCATATTTCACTTCAACAAGCCTTCCGGATCTGGTTTTGAGGGCCACCACGAAGTTTAAGATTTGGTCTAAGCTCATATGAAAGTAAAACAGAACCATGAGAAAAGTGACCCAGAAAGCAAATTGTACAGTAGGGTCAAGTCAGGCTCTTCTTACAAGTTAGATTTGGCCCATATATAAAGCAAAAATACAGACTTAAAACCACAGAAAAAGTGCACACAATTCTAAATCAGTATTTTCTTCTTTGTCCGACCTAGCCTATAAATGGTTAAATAAAGGTGTTCTTGAATCAGAAATCGAGCTCTACCACTAGCTCATCTCACAACTTTACACAAGTCACGTGTCACTGCTATGAGCTAGATTTTTTTCCAAAGAAATGAGAGCTTTGTGGAAGAATAAACTTGAAAGTCTCGAAGTTAAATTGCATGACTATTTGCTGAACGTAAAAACAGCTGTTTCTTATTCCCCATGTTGCTGAAATTACAATAGTAGCAGCTGATTACCAAATGCACACTATGTACTCAGTATTTCACTGCTCAATTTATAACAACAATTTCTAATTCTCAACAACTTACAAGGTACTAATATGAAAATGAGGAATCAGAGGCTAGCTTATCAAATATCATTCATGCTGAGACTGGCTATTGAGACCATCAAACAAAAATTCCATTTTTTTCTGACCAAAGTTTTTATCATGGGCAGTGTTTCCACAAAACTCTAAACTTTATTTTCAAAATAAGGAAGTCAATCCATTTTTCAATTCAAGATACCCAATGTGGAATGCTTGCTGCAAACTCACCTGGTGCAGCAGCCGCTTCAGTTTGAGTAGCTGGGTTTTTACAGCAGTGCAGTCCTGGACCATGTGCCGGAGGGTCATCTCATCCAGCATCACTGTGCTTTCCGGGACATCTACAAACATCTTCTGAGCCTGGAAAAACGGGGTCCCTCCATAGCTTTCAAAATGACCCAAAGGTGCTTCTCTGTAAGGAGAGCCTCTGAAAGGGCAGGGGAAGGTGGAGGGAAAAGAAACACAAGTTCAGAAAGAAACAAAGGTAACGAAATTATTGCTGTGATCATTACAAATCACCCACCATCATCACAACGGCTCTAACCTGTACTTACCTGAGTCACTGAATGAAATTCCACTGGGAGACACAATCAACTCTAGTTGCTGTTAAAATAGTGATCTTTGAACTCCACCACCCCACCTCTTTTGTGTATTTTATCTATTTGTTAAATAAACTCTTTTCCCTCAAAAACCATAATAAAATAAGACACTGTGAGAAGGCCTGAGCTGGAAAACTGACCATCCGCTCCTCAGCTTTTGATTTTGCCTTGCATCTTAAATTGCACATCTCCTAGTTTCATATTATGTGGCCCTCATCGATTCTCAGTTTGGAAAAAAACTCAGGCCCAAACAAAAATTAATAAAAATCCTTTATAAATTCTTCCCCAAAACAGAAACAAAACCAACACTAGACAAATACATCTCAGGAAAACTACAGACCAATACTTTGCTAGGAATATATACACAAATATTCTCAACAAAATACTAGCACGGTGAATAAGGAAACATGTAAAAAGATTTTATACCATAAGCAGTTCAGATTTATCCAAGAAATTAAATGGTGGTTCAACATTTTATAATCAATTTAACTTCCTCTGTTAGGAGATTAGGGCTGAGCCAAACCAGATAAACATGTGGATGAACATGTCAAAGGTCATAAAAGCCCAGAGAACATAATGCTGACCACAGGATCATAATGACTCCAAGGCTTCTGAGCACTGTATATGAAGCAATGAGAAAGTGAAGTTTTCAATTCACCACTTGAATCTGGTACGGGTTTGTAAGACCAATGAGTAAAGGCCTGTTTCCAATTCTTCATTTACATCTAGCAGAAAACCAAGTGAGTCTTTCAGTAGGGCAGTTTAAATCTGGTACCTGGTCAAGTGAGCTTTTCATAGGACAACTGCCCCAATATCTTATTTGCATAAGGGAGAAGCCAATCCAGGAATTTTGGATACAAAAGACCCCTTTCCCTCATCCTTGGGCCCCAGTGATTCATTCACCTGCTCTCACCCTTGTCCACCTTCAATACACACAAACACACACACACACACACACACACACACATCCTTACTACCAATTTTGGGTGTTTTGTCCAATTCTTTGTTCAGGACACCAAGAACCTGAAGACCCACTGGATCCTCCATCTAGTAACACCGCCACATTATGAATCCAGAGAAGAGGATTATCTCAACAGACACAGAAAATGTATTTGACGAAATCTATCACTCTTTCAAGATACAGATATTCAAGAAGCCATGGAGAAAAGGGAATGTCTTTAAATTGCTAAAGAGAATCTACAAAAATAAAACAATCTACTCTCAGATAACATATCTTGTATATAGAGAATCCTAAAGAATTAAAGAGACAAAAAGCTAAATGAATCGTTTACATAACACTGAAGATACTGAAGACTTTATTGAAGCTTATAATGGAGGAAAGTAGACCAAGAGACTAGTTTTTGCAAGCTATGAGTAAGAACCAGTAAGTTCATACAGCCAAATACCTTAAGTCCCAAAGAAAAGAGACTTAATACTTCAACTAGAAGTAAGATGAAGAATGAGGACAAAGACTACCTCTAAACAACTTATTGGCTTGTAACTCAAGTAAATAGAAAATCCTTCATGTAAATATGAGAAAAGGAAAAAAATGGAAATAAAGTATTTATAAATAGGGAGGGGTGGAGGGGGTGAAGGGAAGGCAGGGGAATGGGAAAAAAATAAGAACCAAGATATATCATGTAAAGGTACAAATTCCCAATGATGAATGTCATCATATTGTATACCTAAAATGTACCAAAATAAACTTAATGAAGGAAAAACAAAACAGAAGAGATTACTTCATGTAAAAACATTATTGAGGAAGAAGGAAATTTAGGAAAAAGGTAGATGTCAGTTACAATTAGGAAAATGTAGGCAAAGAGGCCAAGGGTGTGCATTTCTTAAGATGTAAAAGAATTACATTTGGTATAGTGGTAGCTGGTGAGATAGGGAGCTCTGGGGAAATAAGAGGAGTGCAAAGTATTTCAGGTTAAGAGACAGGGCAGTATTATGATGGGACTAAGACAGCAAAGACTAGTAGTTCTCAACCACCAGTCTTCCCAACACCACTGAGTTATGGATAAGGAATAATCCTATAATTAACTATGAGAAGGATGGCAGTTGGGGACCAGAGAGGAAAGAGCACTAGTACTCAAAAAGTTATAGAACAAAAAGACAGATTCTTGCACATGTGTTAAAAAGGCCCTGGTGTTAGTATATTCAAACTCTTTAATAGTTAAGGTTAAGGCAACCTAGGGTAAGGTTTGTCACAGAAGAGGTTTCTTTTCGTACCACTCATCCTCATAACTGGCTCCAAGGAATCCAGAATACCCAGCACCATCACTGGACAGCTTGAGAGGCATCAATAAAAAATCATTTACAATAAACGACTGTGCCTCAGTCCACTCGTTAGAAGGCTCTGTGTTAAGTAATTCAGATTAGCAATGCCAAGAATTTAATGAATTTCTCTCTCAGAATCACCAGTGTGGATGACATGGATAATTTAGCAAATCATAAATTTCTTAAAATAAACTGTTGCAGAAGGGATTTGTAATCATGTTTCCAGAAATGCCTACAGGTTATCTACTACCTAACCTTTTGCAAAATCAGTAATTTATACATTTTCAAAAATAATTAATAATACTTTATTTTCATACTCATTTGACCAAAGAACTTTTCCATACCTGTTGACATTCACAAAACACAGTTTAAAAAAAAATTGCTCAACTTTTCTGACAGATGACTAAGTCTTGGCTTGATCATTTTCAAGGACAGAAAAGACTACCTCCAGCTAATTCACGTCATTTTTAGACAGTCTGATTAACAGTTTCACCATAGACTGCAACTTGCCATCCTTTATCCTACACTGCATATATGGCAGTTTTGCCACCTTTGGTTAGAGATCACATCTACTCATTCCTCCTCCAAATGACTGAGCAATCTAGCTATAGTAAACTTAAGAGCAGCTTTCTGCAAATGCCAGACTCTATCATAAACATACAATTTCCATATGCGATTTTTCCCATGTGGAATCCCAACCTTCTCCTGGGCAACCACTCCAATCTCTAAAGTCAGACCTTTAGCATCAGTCTGAAGTGATGTCCTTTATTCTGTGACACCCTAAACAAACACCAGTTGCTGTACACTCCTGCAGTGCCTTATCCATTACCTTATTTGTGTACACACCACTGCACCACACCAACTCTGCACTGTAACTGTCTCATGCCCATCTCTCTGTAGACTCTAAGTAGACAAGCAGCAAGAAGTATATGCTGTTTGTCTGTGTGTATTGGAACAAGCACATGAATATCATCCCATACAAAGATACCTACTGAGCTCATTAACTGCAGAATTTTTTCTCTTCTTTTCTTTTCTTTTTTTTTTTTTCTCAGTACTGGGGATTGAACTTGGGACCTTGCACTTATGAGGCAAGCAGCGGCACCACTGAGCTAAATCCCGAGCCCAACTGCAAAAAATTTACTACTTCAATACAATGTTCCAAGAAGCTGTTGTCAATCATAGCATGAGAAAGTATCCAACAGATGGTCAATGAATATTTTTAAGTGGATGAACAAATTTTAAGAATAATCAAAGATTCGTGTTTAATTCAGCTTCTAAAGTTTTATAAATTGGCCTCAAATGTACTTCCTATCTTACTATGTGAGACTAGGAAAGCAAAACTTTCATTAATGCAATGAAGACTGTCCTTACATCATGTTCTTTCCTGATAATACCACTCTCTGAAGCCTATTCCTTTTTGAAAACCCTAGATATAAAAAACAGAGCAGCCAAAATAATGTTTGAAATGATGATATGTGCTCTATGCATTCCACCAGACTTTTTCAGTTATATCCTTTCACTGAATTGTATCTCTAGAAGAATTTTTAGTAAGAAATCTTTGTTTTGTGATTCAATGAACTGCCTTTTCTCAACTGGACTGGAGTCTTTGCAGCCTGTACAAGTAACAACAGTTAAGAAAATTATCATTATTGCTACTTTGAAAAGCTGGGACCTGTCCATAACATTTCAAGGTATCGTCCCTTCTAAGAATTCATGCAAGAAACCACTCATATTTTGTTCTCATAAAAGCAAATAAATATGGAATAAACATATGCACATTGTTTATCTTATAATGAATCAAATTGTGTACTTGCTTTTGCCACAAAGAATCTTAGAAACAATTTTATTTCCTACTTTAGGGAATATATACATTCATGTATCTTCTTTTCATTACTTCTTTATCCTAATTTTATTATTTGTATTGTAAATATGCTCCAAAAATGACCTCAAATGTCTTGTGGAATGAGATGAGAAATGGATTTAAAAAAAAGATGCCACTGAGTTCCTACTGTAAACCAGATGCTGCAGCATTCTTATTCCATATCCTCAAATACTGAGAGAAAGGCATTATTAAGTAATCTTTTACAAATGGACAACTGGGGCCAGTGGCACTGTGCCTGCTTAACAAGAGCAAGGTCCTGAGTTCGATCCCCAATACCAAAAGACAAACAAACAAATGGCAAACTGAAGTAAAGGGGGTTAAATACATTATCTAAATTTGCAAAGCTATTCTGTACCACGCCTGGGGTTTCAATTGACTATCGAGACCTATTACATGTAAGTTTTGATGACATTAAAGGTTATCCTACAATTCAAAAAGGCAAAGACTTCTAGTACTGCACAGTACCTTCTTATGTTTCTAATAGCACTTGTGGAATTTTAAGATTCAGATTTATTATATAAGCCAAAGAAGACAAATCATTTGGCATTAATGCTGCACACTATTATTAATAAAATTTTAAACTTTAACAAAGTCAACATTTAATCATTCCCAAATAAAAACTTAAAAACAAAGAGTAGATATAAATACAATATTTATGATAAAGAAAATAAAAAAAGATTTGTGCCAAGATGAAAGAATTACATATTATTCTAACTAGTAATTAGTAACTTGTAACTTGAATTTTTGGGGCAAAAGGAGCCTCAAAAACCTGGCAATATTAGTTTTGGGGGGAAGAATCACTATTCAAACTAATCAGAAGACAAAAAAACAGCACCCACCTGCTCAGGTCACTTTTTCCATGGTGATGATAGTGGTCAGGATGGCTGAGGTGGTAATGTTCTTGTCCACTCCATCTCTGGGGTGGCCTTTTCCAAAATCCTTCCTGAGACTGCCGCACATTTCTGTCTGATCGGTCAAAGCGGTTCATATTGTCACACTCCACTGGACAGAATCAAAAGCAAAAGACTATAAATACGTACAACTTTCTATAAAAGTTAACTACTTACGGCTTGGTAACTAAATGCTACTGAAAATATAAAAGTAATACTCTAAAAATAACAGCCATTTGCACCAGCTTATCACAAAATGAAGATTTCCAGAAGAAAAATAACCAGGTTTTAGTGAAAACAGAAGTTTCTATTATTTAAACTGAAGTAAATTACACCACTTTCATATCATAGTCACATAAGTGAACAATTAACATCTGCAGTGTTTTAAAACAAGTAAATCATCCCTAAAATCAACATCATACATTTAAAATACCAGCAATCAGTTTTAAGTGGTCTTCATCATTTTAAATTGGTTATGATTTCAGAATGAAAACAACAGGAAAAACTAGATTTTAAGTCTAGTAGAGAACTCACCCCTAAAAATGAATATCACAATTAATTTTCCCTGATTTCAAGAAGCACAAATAACTTTTCATTGCAAACAAATCCTTTTTTAAATTAAGCTCACATTTTTAGAAAGTAAGAGGCTTCAATCTGCCTGCGGTAAGCTGTTTCAAAAAGTCTAAAATGCCACTGGAAACAAAGCCAGTACTTTGCAACAACAAATAGTACACTCCCTGAAATCCAAATGCCACAAAAACATGAGAAGAATCTCTGAAACACCCGCTTCTTCACTTACCCAAATACTTTTTCCTCACATATCTGAGCACTCATTGAGGGTGTTACTCTGTAAAAGGGAGACATTGTGCTGCCGGCTGCCTACCCAGTCAGACATAGCTGCACACCAGGAACTGTTTAGCAGGCCTTCCTTCCTGCTCAACTCCAGCCCTCCCAGTGGGAAGCAAGCCCAGTCGGCCCTGTGACTCCATCTTCCTCAGCGCTTACATAGCTACTGAGTTAGGACTGCTTCTAAAAATACTGCTGGACGCTAACCCAAGCCACAGGAAGGAAGATTTCGCCAGTCTGAGAACTACTACATGAGAAGGTTCAAGTCTTGCATGTTCAGAATTCCTTATGATGAAAAGTACTGGAAATCAACATATTTCCAAATTCTTCTTTTAAAAAGACCATTTCATTAAATGACTGTTTTACTTAACCAAAAACATGACTTTGAAATATGTCAGTGTCTTCTTACAGTTTAGTATATCAAAACAAACTTTCCATTCCAAGAAAGGATCATGTAGGTAAAGTGTAGATGTTCAATCCTCATATATATAGAACTCATTTCCTCTAAGTATACAACTTAAATAAGCATTTGTAAGGACGGTGAAATTCTGTAAGGATGGCGAAATTGTGTTTGAATTCATTAGAGGAGTCATGGAAGATATACAGTTTATACTGTATTAAATTTTAAAGATTTTTTAAAGCAGTCTTACATTTGGAATTATTTCTAACAATTTTTTGTCATGTTAGTGAGATAAATCAAAACAAACTTCTAGTAAAGTTCACTTACAGAAAGCCTAACAGAGGCCAGGTATGTGGCATGCACTTGTAATCCCAGCACTTTAGAAGGCGAAGACAGAAAGATCACAAGTTTGAGCACAGCCTGGTCAACTAGCAACTTAAAGAGAACCTATCTTAAAATTCTAAAGTTTTGTAAAAAGGCTGGGGATGTACCTTAGTGTGAAGGCCTTGGGTTCAATTTCCAATAGGAAGAAAAAAAAAGAAAAAGAAAGAAAAGAAAACCTAACAGATAATAAAAGGTATAGTGATTATTACGTTGAAAGAATAGAAAATCAGACCGAAAAAGAAGAAAAATTAATTCTTAAGATTTAGAAGTTTTTAGTTTAGTCTCTTTTAGCAGTATTATTTATACACTCTTAAGTGGATTATAAAACTTACAGGTTAAAGCCATTATTCCACAGATGATAGATCCTTAGGATAAGACCTGATATATGCATTAAAGTGTAAAATGTAAATTGGTTCAAAAAATATATATTACAAGGGTTACAAAGATATAACCAAACTATGAAAATGGTAGGTAGGTGGATGAGTGAGAAAACTAGGGGCCAGATTTTTTTTTAAAATAAAAAAGAATGGGTAGTCTCCAGAAAGCAAAACAAAACAAAAACTCACACTTGTACTATACTGATGAATTCAGTTAAGTTTCATAAATATTTCTACTTGGAATTAAAATGCTACCTCAGTTTAAACAACTCTGTATAGCTGAAATATATTATTTACCTACTTTTAAACATTTTGAATTTTTTTTCTTCATTTGAGCAAAGGAAATCCCACTCACTCCGAAACCACGAAATTGGGTCACAATAAATCACCTGAAATGTTCTTGGCATGATATCAACCCCAGTGTACACAGAATAACAAGGAGCAAGCAAAGGAGCCAAGGAGGCTGGGAGATGGGCTGAATATTGTGAGCAATTACAATGCAGAAGTTGATGTGCTATCTTTGTGTCTGCCAAAGGTTGTTGGAACCATATACAGAATCCAAACTGGGGCTCAATACTGAAACTTGTGCACAAGCAGGATGTACATAAGCTCTAGAAACAAACATCACCATAAATATAAAAGACTAAAGTTCAAATGTAGATACTGATTTAATATCTAAAAGAAGTGACTGTTCTGATATACTACAAGGAGTGCCTGGTCTATATTTCTATCTGAGGCAACCAGCAATTAAACATTCATATACTTCAAAATGTGGCTAAGCAGGTAATGTGAAAAAATACTAGTTGCTTTTCCTTAAAAAAAAAAAAAAATGTTAAGGGTTCCCTGACAGAATGAAGAATATAGGGAAAACAAAGCAGAAAGCAAACAAAAGTACAAGATGGAAATAAACTGAAAACAATTTCCATAGGCTCATGAATGAACAACAAAAAAATAAGACTAAGAAAGAAAGTCCCTCTAAATGTGTGATACTGTCTTATTTTTTCTCATTGCTAAGACAAACTACCCAATATTCAAAGTTCAACGACAAAAAGGTTTATTCTGATTCACAGTTTGTAGAGGTTTCAATCCACAGTCAGCGTGGCTCTAAGGCAGGGTGGCATAGCAAAGAGGCAACACAGAGGAAAATTTTCATAGTGGGCAGAAGCTAATAAAGCAGTGAAGTGGCGAAGCAGCAGCAGCAGCTCTCTTTCTGTCTATTATATCCCATCCAAGTTCATCCCAGCATTACACATTTTAAACCCAGCATCACACACCCTAGAACCAGCCACCTCTGAAAAGCCCTATCTATGACTCTCTGAGGCTTTAGGGGAACATTTATATACAAGCCATAACTTTTTACCCTTGGCCTCCCCAAAGACTCATGCACATCCCTTTATGCAAAAGATATTTAGTCCATCTGTAAGAGTTGCCATAGTCCGAACAGTTTCAGCACTGCTGAAAAGTCCAAGTCCAAAGTCCCCTCTGAGATTTAAGACAAAACCTTAGCTGAAGCTCCTGTACAAAAAGAAAGTTAAACACTTCTAACATATAACAGAACAAGATAAACAGTACCATTCCAAAAGGTACAAATAGGGAGATACAAAAGAATGGGACCAAAGCAAATACAAAATCTAGCAGGGCAAACATTCAATCCTGTAGTTCCATGTCAAGCACCCAAGGCAGTCTATGGCAAGATATAAACTCCAAAGGGCTTTGGTGGCTCTGCCCCTATGGCATTGTATGCTTGCAGCTCTCACGATTTCTCTCTTGGGCCAGTTTTGCTCATTCCTTACAGCTTTCCTTGGATGATCCACATTCCTGGCTTCTCCAACCCTCTGGAGTTCCCCATGCAGCTTCACACTCACAGCTTCACACACCACACTCTCAGAAGCAGACTGCCTGGCCTCCCAGGCCTTCTTCTGAAATCTAGGTGGAAGCCTTCTTGCACTTGACATGCAGCTAAAGCCACCACTATGAGGATGACTCCAGAGTCTGCTGCCAACTAGAGCAGGAGCCAGCCTTCCTTCTCTTTGGGATGTAGAGGTCCAGTACCTATGAACCAAAGGCCAAGGAACAACTTCCTTAGGCCAATGCCATTCCGGAATATGGTGTCCTGGGGCTCTCTTCTCAAAGCAAAGTCCTTCACCTTTACTATTTCAAGGCCACAAAGGGTGGAGTTCTGCTGGTTCTTGTGATATCCTGAGGCCATCTTTTCTACTGTCCACTTCTCAATTTGACTTTTTCTTGCTAGTCTTTTTAGCAACCAATTTTTCCTCTATTCCATATTTTCAGGTCACAAATTTACTACAGGTTTCTTTCTGGCTAAACTCAAAACTTTTTAATTCATTCTGTTGGGCTCTCTGCCATCAATTCTCAACATAGATCTGGTTAAAAGCACCCAACAGTAGCTATGTCACTCCCTCAGCATTAGACTGCCCTGAAGTTTCTTCTTCTTTTGGAGTGGGGTGGGAGGGAGTGTACCAATACCAGGGATCGAACTCAGGACCTTGTGCTTGAAAGGCAGGCACAGGCGACTGAGCTAGATCCCCGGCCCTTAATATTTCTTCTGTAAGATTCATTAGTCTATACCTTTAATCTCAATTTCCTGCAAACTCTCTAGGCATGAACAAAATGCAGACAATTTTTCTGCTAAAGACCATGTTATCAACGTGGTCTGGAATACAATAGCTAATGTAGTCCTTGTTCCTAATTGAAACCTCCTATGCCTGGTCTTTAACAGCTGCATTTCTACCAGCATTCTGGCCTTCTGAACTCTGACCAGAATCTCCCATTAAGTACTACTTAAAACATTCCAGGGCTGCTTCTTCAGCTGGCATTTCCAAACCTTTCCAAATTCTTCCCACAAGCCAGTTCCAAAAGCTCCTGAACCACATAGTCAGGCACAGTCGCAGGAACAGCCCCACTCCTGGTACCAAAATATGTATCTGTCAGCGCTTACTAGAGAAACAGATTTAATGCAATATATACAAATATGTAAGAATTTACAAGATTGGCTTATAATGGCCACCAGTTGAGTCAGGTGTATAAGAGTACAAAAGGTCTGTCTGTGCACTGGGGATCTGAAGCATCTATTCTCAAGGCCTG